CCCGCCAGAAGTCACATTTTCTAAAATAGCAAATGACTGACTCAGGACAGGGCTCTCTCTTGAGGTGTGACCTCAGAACTAGCAGCATCTACGCTGCCTGGGAACTTGTGAGAAACGCAGACTACCAGCGAGGCGTGGTGACTCGCATCTGTAATCCCAGCACTTTGGGAGGCCACGGTGGGAGGACTGCTTGAGCCCAGGGGTTTGAGAGCAGCCTGGGCAATACAGTGAGTCCTTGTCTCCATGAAAAATAAAAAAATTAGCCAGGCATGTTGGCACGCGCCTATAGTACCAACTACTTGGCAGACTGAGGTGGGAGGATCACTCAAGCCCAACAGTTCAAATTACAGTAAGTTATGATTGTGCCACTGCACTCCAGACTGGGCAACAGAGCAAGACCCTATTTCTTCGAAAGAAAGAAAGGAAGGAAGGAAGGAAGGAAGGAAGGAAGGAAGGAAGGAAGGAAGGAAGGAAGGAAGGAAGGAAGGAAATGCAAACTATCAGATACCCCATTAAACCCACTCAGTCAGAAATTCCAGAGTGGGAGGTAGAATGCTGTGTCTCGAACAGTCCTGCAGGTGATTCCGATGCACCCTAAAGTTTCAAAACCGCAGCTCAGAACCCAGGACAGCCTACGGGGACCTCCCATCACAGGCCGGAGTGAGCCGAATAAAACAAAAGGAGTTTGCCATCAATAGAAGGACATTTACAGAGGAGCGAAAAGAGCCCTGCCTGCTTCCCCAGTGGGCCTGAGAAGTCCCAGGTGTCTTCAACTTAGAGCAACTGCTTTCAGTGAAACAGTGCCACTAAAAAGCCACCGTGCTCATTCACAGGCCAACGATCATGATTTACCTTACAACTCAGCTGTCACCCGACAGAAAGCCCAGATAAAAAGAAAAGCAGCCATGGCACACAATACGACAGGTCAGGTTTAAAGGACAGCAGGAGAAGGAGTGTCCACAGAAGTCACCCCAAAGGGCTGACAGGCCCAGTCAGGAGACTCTGGGAAGGCAACAAGACTTTCTGCACTCAGAAAGGAAGCTCAGAGAAACACTCAGGCATCACCACTGCCTTGAGTAGCACTTGACTCGACTGTCATGAGATTCTCTCCCCTGGCCTATTAGAACCGAATGGTGTCCGAACCAGAAAGGGAGCTGTCTGCTGCCTGGCACTCCACATGCATGATATACATATGCAAGACTCACGGTCAAACTCAATGGGGAACAATCTGAGTTGGGGCCTGTCTTTGGAACTCCCTCATGATACCACCCGCCATTTCTTAAGATGAAACCTGCATGTCCATGTTCTAGCATTTGCAAGCACCACTTGACAGAACTTACAACTAGTTTTTGTTGTTGTTGTTGTTTTTGACAGTCTTGCTCTGTCACCCAGGCTAGAGTGCAATGGCTCGATCACAGCTACTATATAACCTTCAACTCCTGGACTTCAACTCCTCCTACCTCAGTTTCCCAAGTAGCTAGGAGTATAGGCACACACCACCACACCTTGCTAATGTTTGATTTTTATTGGTTTGGTGGAGATGAGGTCTCACTATGTTGCCCAGGCTGGTCTCCAACTCCTAGACTCAAGTGATCCTTCCACTTCAGCCTCCCAAAGCACTGGGATTACAGGTGGGACCCACTGCACGTGGCCACAAATAGACTCCATATGTTCTTACATGTATCATTTACAGAGCACATAAATCTTACTAATGCATACATCGACAAGTTTGATATTAGTTTTCAAACATTCTGCTATAATCCCTAATAACTTCAACAGTAACTGAAAGCACATAATTTTTTTTTTTTTTTTTTTTTTTGAGTTGGAGTCTCACTGTCACCCAGACTGAGTGCAGTGGCCGCTCCTGGCCACCGCAGCCTCGACCTGCTGGGCTCCGGCGATCCTTCCACCTCAGCCTTCCAAGTAGCTGGAACTACAGGTATGCGCTACCACGCCCGGCTAATTTTTTATATATTGTAGAGATGAGGTCTCGCCAAGTTGCCGAGGCGGGTCTCGAACGGGCTCAGGCAATCCACTCACCTCAGTCTCCCAAAGGCACGAGATTACAGGCTGAGCCACCAAGCCCGGCTAGCACATAATTTTATATTCAACAAACAAAAACATCAAAACTTTTCTCTGAACATTCTTACTATCCTACATACATGTTCACATTTTTATTTTACATTATATGTTCCAAAGCTTTTCTATATGCCATTTAAAAACTCAACTGAGGGTAAAATACACCTTATACTATAAAATGGAGATGGTAACAATGAAAGTGGACGTACAGGTTGCCACAGGGAAAGTGGTAGCTGTTGATTCCTTGATGTATTCCTAATGTAAGGAGCAAGTGTCCATGTTTTACAGTCCCACCTTACGTTGTTCTATCGGTTGACAGATGGCATTTTAACCTCTAACCAATGGCAGTGAGAAGGTTCGAAATCAAGGTTGACCCTCTGTCCTTTAACTTGTTTCTACTGCAGCAGTTCACGGCCCCATGTTCCACCACACGCGCAGACCCCAGACACAGTGGGGAAGGTTGGCAGAGGCCTCTGTGTTCTGCCACCTCCTGCTTCCTGTTGTTTCTAGAGAGACTACCTTGAGCTAAACATCACCCTTCTAGGTGTAGCGTTTTAGTAAAAGACTCCGCCAGGCAACAAAGTCCTGCATGTTGGCTGCATTTCTAAAGCATGCTCATTGATGACAGCCAATGCCACTGGCTTGGCACTCTGCAGAGTCTTCATAAAACCCACCCATTTTATAAAAAAAATATTAAAATCAAATGCCTTACCATGTAAGATTTATGAATAAAAACCCAAACTATTATGAAATGAACAGCAGGAGGGATTTTTTTTTGGAAGCACTTTTTGGTCATCTAGCCTCCCATTAAATAATGAGTGATGAATGGCAAATTTTTCAAAAACTTTTCCAGATTTCAAGTTATTTTTTAGTTCTAAATGTACTATTATCTGTGGTAATGGGCATGTTTACTTATGCCCCAAAGAGGTTAGATTCAGAAAAGTCCTCTTAAGTTCTACATCCAGGATTAAATTTTTTGCCAGAGATGAGAAATATGTCTGAGAAACAAGAAAATGCCAACTACTTAGTAAAAAATTATGTTCTTAGCTTAATGTCAGTAACCCTTACCAAGACAGAGCTCATGAAAAGCATACACAAGGAAAAATATATATATATTACTTTCCCAATTGTCTGTCCCCTTGGGTATTCTGTAAAGTAGAACATTTAGCTCTATATAATTAAAAAAAAAAAAAAAACTATACATAGCTTAGAGAGGGAAGCATAAATCTCATGGATCTCAGATTCACTTCCTGTTGCCTTCCTTCATTATATGTTCAAAGATAATCAATAAAAACTGATTTCTCTTTGTAAGCATTTTCCTGTTCTGCCAGAAATAATAGCAAGCCCTGCCCTAAAATGAAGAAAAAACGGAAAGTAATATTTACCATAAGAGGGGAAAATGAAACTGCCTAAGCATTTTTCCAGAGCCAAGTGAAACACAAACAGCAAACCGAGTTTATCAGAAAAAAATTTAAAATACTCTTGGCATTAGTTATATTCCTAAAATCTGTGGAATCAACAAGTTTTCAAACTCTGAATTTATATTTCCACTTTCAACGGCAACCTCTTTCTGTTTCCTAATAGCTTTAGTATATTTCTATGTCAATATACATATCACACACAAGATGTTTGTCAGTGTTGATCACTGAAGCTGCAAAGAGAGGACAGATACGTCCCCCAAACTGCCTCCCAAGGCAGACTAAGATGCAAAACCAAAGGGAAAACACAGATAAGAACAAAATCACATCTGGTAAGAAAACAGCAGATGGCAAACCACTCTACCTTGTTTCAAAACACAAAACTTATTGCCATTTCCACTTTCAGCAAAAGAGTGAAACATTACTTGCAAGTTTTATATCAAGCAATCTAAATAATCCATTGGGGCTCTCTAATACATAGAGACTATCTCAGAACTCTTCACTCTTATTTTCCCTCTTCCTGATCCCTCACAGAAGGCTATAAGAAAACCCCAAGTGGAAGAGTGGCAGACTTCTACTTTGTAACAAGGCGCCAGACACATGGTATATGCTTCCCGGGTTTCCCACCGCCATCCAGGCTATACTATCTATGGAGGCTGTTGTATTTCACAAGGCGGACTATAAATCAGGCAAGTTCTGCCAGTCAGGTTGAAGGATGGAGGCAAAAAGCACAGTGGAAAATACATAAAGCACAATTAAAACCAGATGACCAGAGACACTGAAGCAATACTTGCTGGAGGAAATCCAAGGAAAAATCAAACCTTTCCTGGCGTTAGTGAAACTACCCAGTCCATTTGGGGCAAGCACACCTCATTCGCTAAATAGTCTTTTTTCTTTTCTTTCCTTGTCCACAGCAAGCGCAGTCGGGGAAGGTAATTAAGCCCTATAACTATCTCTGTGGCATAATTAAGTTCATAGTTGCTAGCATAAAGCTGATCTCTCATTTAAAACAGTAACACTCACTTCGAAACACAGCATAAAACTGGGCAAGAGTCTATTTGCATTCACCAAAGAGTATAGAGGTTTATCACGACAACGTTGAATCAGAAGCCTTTTCCATTTCCTATGAAACCTTTACCTCTGAGGATTCCAGTATCACAGAAATTAGCTGTCTATTGTTGAACATAAAGAAGCTACGAAACCCCAACTGTTCCACCTACTACATGACAAACCACCTAGACGCGACTGTCTCAAGTAGGTGGCACTCAGTAGGCCAATGACGCATACATCTAAGGGTGCACAGAAATTAAGAGCTCTTGCAGTTACAAGGCAATTCTGGCAAAAGTCTTGAAGCTTGGCAATCTATCGCCAAAGCCTTTCCAAATCTAATTCTCTTGTGCATTCCAAGTGTCCATTACAGTAACCTCAGTGGACAACCAAAATATAATTCTTAATCCTGCTTTGGGATTCCGGCAAACAGCCAGAACTTGGCAAGTCACTTACCCCCCAGAAACTGGATTCCCCCAGCCACTCTGCCCACGGTCCTGGAGATGAGCTCGGACACACAGCAACCCATGAGGGCGGTAAGTGCCACCAGGAGGAGGAGGCCACAGCCCAGGCCCGTCACGACTGTGCAGATCCTCCACTCAGCACTGGGGATGCCCTGGAAGGAGGCGTAGCGCCCGCACTCCTCGACCATCACCATCGTCTGCCGGCTCTCGTCATGCACAGGGTACGAGCACCTCCGGAAGGTGCCAAAGGACACGGGCTTGCCCAGCTGGGAGCCCCAGAGCCAGTAAGGCATGAAGAACCCCACACAAGAGGCGGCTGCACAGAGGAAGGAGAGTAAAGCCCAAATCACTCCAGTACAAGTCAGGCTGGATGCCATCTTTCACCAGGCAGGGCGATGAGCACCCCGAGGACCCGGATGGGAAGGCAGGAGTTGAACAAGGTGTGAAATCACCAGGAACCCGCACAAGCGTCTATTCGCAGAGCGGATCTTCAGTCTTCAGGCATCAACTTCCCATCCTCTGCACTAAGGATGCCAGTCCCTGGTAAAACAGTAACAGGAGATATGAACAGTTAGCTGGGTGTGGTAGTGCATGCTGTAGTCCTAGCTACTTGGGAGACTGAGGCAGAAGGACTGCTTGAGCCCAGCAGTTCCAGACAGCAGACTGCTCTGATGGTGCCACTGTACTCCAGCCCGGGCAACAGAACAAGACCCTGTCTCGAAAAATAATCAAAGTTAAAGGGTTTCAGAGAAGCGATGACACCCTATCTGTTGGTCTACAATTGTCAATTAGTAAACATTCAAACTGGCCTCAATCCCATTTCGAAATTGGGAAGAAGTATTCTCTCTAGGAGCACAGTTGATAACTCAAGCTTTGTCAAACCAGCTCAAAGCTTTTCAAGTCTTATCTTCTCTAAACGCTTCCAAATTAACCCCGACAGCTATTTACTTAAAGAAACGCATGACTTCTATTTGCCAAGCCAGTGAATTCATTTCATATACTCACATTAAAAGTAATGTAGCATTTTTACGGGCAGTAAACGTAATTTAGGATGTTAAAATAAAATGAGCCACACCACGGTTTCTTTATTTGGCTTGCAAGTTCATGCTCACGGTTTGTTGCAACTTTGCCTGTCCCTTTTAGGGTGCCTTTAACTCTTTGCAGGAACCAAACAAAATCATTAGGAAGATTTTTCACCACCGCAGTGTGGAGGCACACACTTCGGATGGAACTATGATCACTCAGTCACTCCTAGTATTCCACTCAGTAGCACTGAGAATGCCTTTAGTCTTTTTTTCTCTCTCTCTCCTAATAGAGACGGGGTCTTGCTGTGTTGCTCAGGCTGGTCCTGGGCTCAAGTGATCCTTCCTCCTCGGCCTCCCAGAGTGCTGGGGCTGCCGGCTAGCACTCCCGCGCCTGGCCCCTGTGGATTCCTTTGGGCTGAACCATCTCCTAGCTTAGAAGAAAGCCTGCGCGTGACTGACTTCGGACCCGCAATTAGGACTCCACGGCTCTAACAATTTTAACGAAGCCGTTTCGCCTACGAGTGACCGCCTGCCCTGAACAGGAACCTACACCGTCCGGTCCGGTGCGTCCAACCCCATCACGGAGCACGCCGAGGGGTCCCGGCGCCTTTGCTGCCAGCGCGCCTCTCGTCGCCCACGCTCGCCCCCAGCGCAGAGCCCGCCGCCCTGGGGCTCCGTCCCGGGACGCCCAGCCGGCGTTCGAGGTCCTTCCCTGACACCTCCCTACCCATCTCTCTCTCCAGCCACGCCCGTCTTCGGGACTGGCGGCCCCTCGGAGGCCACTCCGGCGACTTTTTTGTCTCGGCCTCGTCCGCCGAGGTCGGGGACTGAAGCGAGTCCATCCGGGCCGCGAGGCTGGGGAGGCG